CACTTCTTATTAGGTTCCACGTATAAGTGAGATTATACGGTATTTGTCTTTCGCTGTCCGATTTTTCTTAACTTGGCATAATGACCTGAGGTTTATCCATGTTGTTGCAAATGGCAGGATTTCCTTCTTTCTCGTGTCTGAACAATTTTCCATTGTATACACCTATCACATCTTCTTTATCCATTCATCCATCGACAAACAGAGATTGTTTCCATAACTTGGCTATTGTGAATAATGCAATAATTCAATACAAATAATAATTTGTAGCAAGGTAGTGATGTTCACCCAAGTCCCGTGGCTCCCCTGCATTTCCCAGCCTCCCTCAGAGTGAGCTCAGAGCTCAGTGGATTATTCCTCATCAGTGGGTTGGGAGAGAAAGCCACATGTGGTCACTAGGAATCTGGGACGAAGGCAACATAAACTCCATATTTTCTCTCTCCCTGTTGTGCTGACTGTCACATAAATAAGCAGAAAGAGCATTTGAACGATTTCGACTTTAACTCTTTGGGTCGTTCTTCCGGAAAGTGGACACTCCCGATTATTACTGTAGACACTACTAGATCATTACTCCCCAGAGGTGTGTTCCCTGAAATGACAGAGCTGGTTAGGAAAGAAAAGCAGGGGGACTGTGGGAGCCATCGGGAGTTATTTCAAAATCCTTTCAAGTTAACTCCCAGTAACTGTTAACTCCCAGTCTGACTCAAGAAACGGGCTTCTCACAGGTTCCCCTTTCTACATATCTTTTCCCTCTGCACAGCGCCCCGCTAGAGGTGTCCCCCCAGCCCCCAGACCCATGCACTTGCCCCCCACCCCCCGCAATGATACTTGCCTTTAGGACAGTCACTGCCACCAGTGAGAATGAGGCTTGACTCCTGGGCGGGCTTTGCATTTGGGCAAACTTGTGACCCGCAGGACACAGCCCGGGGCAGGAAGAGATCAAATCTACCAGCTACCCTGACGTGCCTGCCTTTCTCCCCTGTCCAGCTGAAATCATTCCAACACGGCTTTTTCACTACTGGCAAGAAAACGGGGTCCACACGATAGCAAGTAACTACTGATTAAATTTTCCCATTTTAACACAGGCATACGGAGGGGCTCTTTTGCAGCAGGGAAGCTCTGCAGACATTAAGGAGAGGAAGAAGACAGGCTGGGCTTTTGTTTTATTTTCTCTTTCTCTTTGAGCTGAGCTGGCAAGTCTCAGGTTTGAATGGGAGTCATCTGGGTTTCTTTGGACAGTCAATCAGGTAAGCCCACATTCATGAAAAGTTCCACAGTGTTGATTTCTAATTCCCAGGCTATGCTTGGGGGAAAAAAAATCTTTTTTAGAACAAATTTTCCCTGTTTTCAGGGAAGCGATTTAGAGTGGCTGCCTTTGGCTGAAGTACAGCCGGTTTACAAGACCGTAAACTTTGTATAGCTTTCGTTTACACGTTACTGGCAAACAGAGCTTCCTTAGCACGAAGCCAATAAAGAGTGCTAACTGGGAAGAATGTGGGCATTCACATGTGTTCGTGAGTCTTCTGTGCCTTGTCGCTTTGGTATACGCTGCCAGACTTAAGCAAGAGAGAAAAACCATCTGATGAAAATGAACGGACGTTTCTCACTGCACAGGGAAAGGGAATGGGTCCCAAGGCTTCTTCAAGCTGGCTGTTGAGGATTGAGGAAAATTCAAGTAATTGATGGATTGAATGAAAGGTATTTCAGGCTTCAAGGATAGTGTACTTAATTCACTGAGTCTCTCACAAGAATTTCAAATGAAGGGCGAGGTTTGGAGAGAGGGGAGAGCACGGGAGAGGAGGGAGCAAGGTGGGGAAAGCAGGAGAGAAGGAAAGAGAAGACCGAACCTCGCATCAGGGAAGGCCAACAAGAAAGGAAGGCGAGAGAAGGAATGGGTGAGGCCAAGGAGAGCAAGAGAGGGGCTGGGGGGCCACGGGAGGAAGGAGGAAGGCCACAGAGAAGAGGTGGGCATGGAGACCAGGAGCAGGAGGGGCGGACAAACGAAACCTACTTCTTCTCCACTCACTGACTCACTGGGTGACTCTGGGCAAATGACTATGTCCCTGTAAGACAGGATAATTCTCTCCCCCATCAGCTATGTGTAAACAAATGAGGCATGGGTGTGACAGTGCTGTAGGAATACAAGGGTCTTTCCTGATGCAGAACTAAAACAATTATCTAAATATATGATATCTATAATATATCTATATTCCCTGAAATTGCAGAGCTGGATAGGAAAGAAAAGCAGGGGCCACGGAAGCCATGAGAGAGTTATTTCAAAATCCCTTAAGGGTTAATGACTGTTAACTCCCAGTCTGGCTCGGGAATATATATACATTATATATATAATTGGTCTCTGGTCTCTCTGTGCCTCAGGAACAACAATGGACCAACACGAATGCGGTCACTCTGGTAAGTGACTTCTTGTGTGTGTGATTATTTTACCAATTTCTGTGCCAATTTTATATAAAAATCATGCAACCTTCTCTAAGCAAAGTATAAGCTATCAGATATTTCTTCAGAGAGAATAATTTTACTTTGCTTATTCCAGTATTTCCCCAGTCCAGGCTTTTCACTGGTGGTCAAGACCACAGCCCAGCCCAGCGAGGTCAGAAGAGCCACCTCTGGCCTTAGAACAGAGTCAAGTTACTTAAGCCACCTGGAGATCGAACCCACAGTCGTGGCTACTACACATCTCTGATCTTCAGAAAATTTGTCTTGTACACAGCCAGAACTGGGTGAATCAGGCAAGCCTTGCACGACTAGATATGTTTCTAAATCCATATCGTCCCCCAAGTATGTTTTTCTATGATCCAACATGGCAGCATCTTGCAGTCCTAGAGAAACTGAGTTTTTTTTTAAACACTTATTTATTGATTTCAGAGAGAGAGAGAGAGAGAGAATGAGCATGGGAAAGCGAGCGGGGTGAGGGGCAGAGGGAGAGCGAGAGACAGAATCCTTGAGCAGACTCCCCGCTGAGCACAGAACCCTACACGGGGCTCATTTTAAGGACCCTGAGATCATGACCTGAGCCAAAATCAAGAGCCGGCCACTCAAACAACTGAACCACCCAGGTGCCCTGAGAAACAGAGATGTTTTAAAAATCACTGTTGGTTTGATTTGATTTGATAATGGAGTTAGCCTCTATTTTATAAATCCAATGTATTGGGAGACTACCTTTGCTCATAATGTGGGAATATCTCTTATTGTTAAAAGTATTCCATTGGTGTAACCAGTAGTCATAACGTAGCCAACTCGCTCTTACAGGACCATATATGAAGAACCAACGTGCCAGAGGATCAGAGCTGAGAATCATTCTGGTGGGCAAAACAGGAACGGGCAAAAGTGCCACCGGGAACAGCATCCTTGGGAAGCAAGCATTTGGGTCGCAGCTGACTGCCCAGCCGTTCACTAAGACTTGCAGTGAAAGTCAGGGAAGCTGGGGAAAGAGAGAGATGGTCATTATCGACACACCGGATATGTTTTCTGGGGAGGACCACTCCGATTCCCTGTGCAAAGAGGTGCAGAGATGCTACTTACTCTCGGCACCAGGACCCCATGTGCTGCTCCTGGTGACCCAGCTGGGCCGATTCACCGCCCAGGACCAGCAGGCTGTGCAGAGGATGAAGGAGATCTTTGGAGAAGATGCCATGAGTCACACAATTGTCCTCTTCACCCACAAAGAAGACCTCGAGGGAGACTCCTTGACGGATTACATCCAGGACACAGATAACAAAGCCCTCCGCAAGCTGGTGGCAGCATGTGGGGGGCGAGTGTGTGCCTTTAACAACTGTGCTACAGGGAGTGATCGGGATGGCCAAGCGAAGGAGCTAATGGACTTGATGGAAGGCCTGGTGTTGGAGAGAAGGGGTGACCACTACACCAATGGGCTCTACAGCCTAGTAACAGCGTCAGGATGTGGACCTGTGTGCGAAGAGGAAAGGTTAAAGGATTTCAAAAGAGATCTTAGGAAGTACATGGAAAATCAGAGACGTTACTCCACCATGGCCAAAGCAAATTACCTGAAACAAGCCCTAATCAAGACACCAGCCGTTTATTTTTTATTTTTTATTCATTTCTTTCTCAAATTGCTAATTCTGTTATTTTGTGTATTGTACAGAATGTGCGTCTCGTTTTGCTGCTTTCTTTTGAGTGTATGCTGTTTGTTCTGTAGCTTACTGTTAATGATAGCCAAAATATTGCTGATAAGTTTGAGAAAGATCACTGGGCTGGAAGGCAAGACTCCTAGATTATAGTTACAGGTCAGCGATTATTTATTCACGACCAGATACTGGGTGAATCCACGTGCCTCCCCTGGAAAACGCAGTGCCTGACATCAGTAAATGTTTGCGGTTCTGTGAAGTGTTTAAATCTTAACATCACTCTCTTAATGAACCGAGTTATTTTAACAGTTACTGTCTGCCTTGAAATTTAATATGAAAAGCGTTTGAAAGCTGTAAGCATAAAATTCCTCATTTGCGAATCTCTAAAGCCAGTTTTATGTTCCTGGAAACTCCTTTTCTTCTTTATGATACTATTATTTCTACTGAATATAATAAAAACAACAATAAAACTTCTACTCGGTGTAAGAACATAGCAATAATAAATAAGCTGTCAAGTTCCTGAGATCCCATGTCTTTCATTCTGTTCTGTAGTTTTATCCTCAGAAGTTGGTAAGTGAACACAGGGCTTATTTACTCTAGAATGGAAGGAATCCATGTGCAGCAACCACACATAGACAACACTCACACACCAGTCGTCTGTTTTATGTGTGTCAAATTTGCTTAATATTGAAACGGGCTCAGCCAGATTTTATCTTTGGCCCCAGTCATGTTTAGTATTAAAACACACATAGAGGCTTACACTTCAGACAAGGTGGTCTGCTGGGTATTCAGCAGCACTGTCCTGTTCGATGCAAATAGAAGCAGAATTTATTAAAATAAACAGAATCTTTGTGATCGATGAGCTCACTAGAAAATCAGGAAAACTCCAAGGGTGAAGCAAACAATACACATAAAAAGAATGCGGGGCTAAAATGAGTTGAGAGCCATTAGGAAGATGCACACGTAGAAGGCAGGGTTGACCAACAGACAAATGCCACTATCAATCTGGAGATCAAAAAAACCAGCCTTGGGTGGTCAGGTAGTGGAAGAGCTGACTCTGAGGCTTCACTGTTATGTCAGGACCTCCTCGGGGAACTAATATTACAAATTCATTTTTTAACTGAATACATAAGGCCTAGTAGTCTTTTCATATTTCCTCCATGTTTTACATTTCTGGAAAAGTTTGCCTTTTCCTGTGGATCCAAGTTTTTTTTTTTTTTTTTTTACCTAACATCATTCCGCATTTCCATTATGCAAGCCCTACTGGAACAAATTCTCTCTGGTTTTGCCCTGTCTTCAAATGTATTTTTTTTAATCTTCATTCTTGAGGGATACTTGTACTGAGTAATGAATTCTAGGTTGTTCTTTTATTTTTCTTCAGCACTTTAAACATATTCCAGTGTTTCCTGGCTTACATTGTTTCTCATAAGAAAGCAGCTGTCATTCTTATATTGGTCCTATATATATATAGTGGTCTTTGCTCCTCCTATGATTGATTTAAAATTTTTCATTTTCTTTGGTTTTCAATAGTTTGTTTCTCTTTGTATTTCCTACTTAAGGTTGATTAAGATTTTTGGATTTAAGAATTAAAGTTTTTCATCAAATTTTTAAAATTGTCGTCATTATTATCATCTCAATTTGTTTTTATGCTACCTAGTTCAGTCTTATCTTCTCCTTCTTGGATTCTAATTGCTTTAGACTGCTTGATACTATTCCACTGATCATTAGTGCCATATTAATTTCTTTTATCAATATTTTCTTTCCTTTTTGTGCTTCAGTCTCAATAATTTCTCTTAACCTATCTTCAATTTTATAGATCCCTTCTTCAATGTCCCATATGCTTGTAGGTCCATCCACTTAAGTAGTTCTTTTTTAAAATTTCAGATATTTTATTTTCTAGTTCTTTTTAGAGTTTATATTTCTCTCCTGAAATTAAGTCATTATATTTCTTTTTCTATAAATCTTCAGCACATTTATAATTGTTATTTCAAAGTCCTTAACTGAGGGGCCCCTGGGTGGCTCAGTCAGTTAGGCATCTGCCTTCCTATCAGGTCACAATCCCGGGGTCCTGGGATCAAGCCCCACATTGGGTTCCTTGCTCAGTAGGGAGCCACTTTTCCCTCTGCCCCTTCCCCCCACTCCTGCTCTCTCCTTCTCTCAAATAAATAAATAAAATCTTTAAAAAATCCTTACCATAATTCCAATGAATGAGTCATCGGTGGTTCTGTTTCTACTACCTGTTTAATCTTCTTATTATGAGTCCTATTTTCCTGATTCTTCATGTGTCATGTAAATTTGTATTCTATTCCAGACAAGTATGTTTACCCTGGTTTTGTTTATTTCCTGAAGAGTACAAGTTCATTGATCTGTCTGTTGGTTAGAGTGATCACATCATTGGCTCCTAAATTTGAGTTGAACTGAGAATGAGCTGCCACTTTAAATAGATTGAGTTTGGGTTGCTTGGGTGCCTCAGTTGGTTAAGCATCTGCCTTTGGCTCAGGTCAGGGTCCTGGGATGGAGGCCCACATCAGGCTCCTTGCTCAGCAGGGAGTCTGCTTCTCCCTCTGCCTACCAGTCCCCCTGCATGTGCTCTCTCTCTCTCTCTATGGCAAATAAATAAATAAATAAAATCTTCAAAAAAAAAACCCAAACAAACAGATTGAGTTTACCTCTGATTCATGCAACCCACAATAATCTCCTATACAACCAATACCAGCTTTTTTATCTAGTCAGCATTGGAAATGGGATAGTGTCAGCCTCTAACTGAAAATGGTTTTATTTCACTAATAGGGCCTAATGGGATTGAATCACTTCTACCTGTTTTCTTGGTCCTTCTACACTGCTGCTTTCTTAGGAAAAATGTGTGATGGGAAGGAGAGGAGGTATCAAGATAAGCAATTTCGTTTTCCCCCTGGGATTGTATAGATCCCCATGTATTTTAATAGTCCACATTGTCAAATGATCATCTGATTTCTCCTCCACTCTGCAAAGTCTACTTTCTTTGGCAAGGCAACACCTCCATTTGTTTCTATCCAAACCAAGTCCCTACTCCAGGTATAGAAGGCCCCCCACCTCTCTGCTCACCTATGAAGGGCTGTTTTCTACAGAGAATTCAGTTCCTCAGTTCTGCTTGGCATCCACATCCTTCACTAGACACAGAGAAGTATGTTTTTACTCCATATAATTCCTTTTGTCAATATGGAGACTAAAGACTTTTGCATCTCTCTCCGATCTAACCAGAAGAAAAAAATCCTTCATTTCACTGAGTTTTTTCTCTTTCAAACTTCCTTCAACTTGTCTTTAATAACAACACAATTTTCAGCTTTTGTCCCACTTCTCAAATATTTGCACTGCTTTCCCCTTGATGGTTCCAGAATTATAAGGGTCTTTGGAGTTCTGTACTCAGTCCTTTTTTCTTCATACCCAACACATTTTCTCTGAGTGATTCCCCCCACCATCCATTTGTGTCTTATGGCATGCTGATACTTCTTCAAATATACTTCCACCTAAGTCCTTTCTCCTGGTCCTTTACTATCTGAAACTCATCCTGGGTTCTTACACAAGTCTCAGTTTATTATAATATTTGTGTCTCTCCCAGAACCTCTATTTTATACCTTTGACTTCAGTGACCCATCATACATAATATTTGGAGGTGAAATACACGACATTTTAGCTTCTGATTTGGCTTACAAACTTCTACCCCCTTTTATGTTACGCTGTCAAACTAAGAAGCATGACCTGGTTCTTGTCCTGTGAAACTGAATCCTAGATACTACCACCTCCTTGGCTATTAGAACTGCCTTGGTTGGTACTTCTAACAATGAAACCTTGATTACCACAACTTCCCTCTCCCCACAAGAAAGGAAAGTAGTATCTACATGATGCTGAAAGAGTGCTTCTAAATGCTGGGGCACAGTGGGCCAATGTGTTTCACATAGTCAGTATTTTATTGAAGGAGTTATTTCCTTATAACCTCCTCTGCTGAGATGATATCTGGATTACTTTATTCTTTTGTAACCCCAGGGATGCTGATAATTGAACTCTGGGCACACCAAAAAAAGACAGGGCAACATCAGGGCTGAAGAATGATCCCAGAACATTTGAACTTCTCACTGGAGATCTGTTCAGGAAGAATGTTTTCCTTAAAACTCATGAATTCAATGCTTTCCATGTCATCTTTCCTGACTTTATAAGGACAGAGAAGTAAACAATGAACCTGCAAATATTGAAAAAGGAGAGAAGAACTGTAGGAAGAGAGGAGAGGAAGCAGAGGTCCTGGATAATTCTGAGTCCCAGGAGTCTCAGGACCATAGACCTCAGATGGGTTCCACAATTGATGGCAAGTCAGTGAACAATAGGAGACCAAGCCCAGACACAGTGAGAAATAATCAAAAGCTAACAGGAATGTAGAGGAAAATGGAGACAGAGACAATTGCTTTTGTAGAGGAAGGTAATCCCAGAAAGCACTAGGAGGGAGGTGGGAATATGAGACAGAGAAGGGGAAAAGAGCCAATCTGGGTTGCACCAACGAGCATGTTCCCACTATAGAAAACTGGGTCTTGGTCCTGCTGCGGAACTCAGCAATTTGTGTGACATACACCTCAGAGTTACCTTACTTGGTGAGGAGTAGACAATTTAATAAGCAAGGACACTGAGGTATCTAATCACTCACTTCTGACTGCCATTGATAAGCTCTGCTTTGGGGAACACTAGCTCTCTGACAATTTCAGCCTGTTCCATGCACTAGCTAAGCAATTCTTGCAGCCAGATAAACCCTCAAACAGAGAGTTATAAGTGATTGAAGTAAGACATCCTATGCATTCATGGAAATGATAAGGAGTGAATGATAAGGAGTTATCACAGAAGCACTGAAAGCATCTTCAGGAAAGGTACATGTCAAACTTCAAAGATTTAGTCAAGGCTGATCTGCATGGCTTGGAGTAGGATGAGGCTGGTGAGGAGCCTATGGCACCTTTTTCCCTCTTTTTCTTTCTTTCTTTCTTTTTTTTTAAATTTAAATTCAATTAGCCAACATATCGTACATCATTAGTTTCTGATGTAGTGTTCAATGATTCATCAGTTGCGTATAACACCCAGTGCTCACCACATCATGTGCCCTCCTTAATGCCCCTCATCCAGTCACCCTATTCTCCCACCCACCTCCCCTTCTGCAACCCTGTTTGTTTCCCAGAGTCAGGAGTCTCTCATGGTTGGTCTCCCTCTCTGATTTCTTCTCATTCAGTTTTCCTTCCCTGCCCATATGATCCTGTGTGCTATTTCTTATATTCTACATATGAATGAAACCATACAATTGTCTTTCTCTGATTGACTTATTTCACTAGCATAATACCCTCCAGTTCCCTCCACATCGATGTCAATGGTAGGTATTCATCCTTCCTGTTGGCTGAGTAACATTCCATTGCATATATGAACCACATCTTCTTTATCCATTCATCTGTTGAAGGACATCTTGGCTCCCTCCACAGCTTGGCT